CTGAAAGCGACGATGAAGATTGAAAACGATTTGATTGTAGATAAAGTAGATAAAGCTTACTGACTTGTTTGTTTTCGTTGTGCTTTGACTAGATGAAAGACCCACGATTGTTGTTTTTCTACGAAATAAGTATCTTTCGAGACATTTAAATGATTGTTCTTCTGTGACATTGATGGCAATTCATTTTAGAATTGTTTTTATAACAGAAATATCTGTTTTCTGGTGTAAAAAACACACATTTTTGACAATTTGATTCCATGTGCTTTGCTTGCTTCAGTTGGACCAATCGATAGTCCAATCGATATTCGCGCGCTGTTTACAGTTTGCTTTTCCGATGTAGAAAAAAGTCATATAATAAAAGTGTTATTAACCTCGTTTGCTCGGTCTGTACGGAAATATATCGGACCTCGGTCTCTTATGTACGGACCTCGGCCTACGGCGCTCGGTTAATAACCCTATGATAGCAATGATTATAATATACGCAATGACGATATCGATGATTAGGCCTTTCATTATAATGATAAAAGCATACGCAATGATGATGCCGATGATTAGGCCTATGATAGCAATGATGACAATATACGCAATGATGATGCCAATGATTAGGCCTTTGATAGCAATGATGACAATATACGCAATGATGATGCCAATGATTAGCCCTTTGATAGCAATGATGACAATATACGCAGGATGATACCGTTGATCAAGCTAATGCCAACGACCATTTCCCTTAAGTCATCGTTCCTTTTAGTTTTACTTTATTTTCGCTGCCTACCACGACATATTTTGGCTAATCGGTATCTTGATTTACATTATAACTCTATGTAAGTATAGGGTAATCGTGTACACCGAGTTGATCAACAATAACAAACAACAAGCACCCGAAGGCCAAAAGACCTTCAAATTAAAATGTCAGCATTTAGACGTAAGGTGTTAACGACCACACCTATCGATAATAAAGGGTTATGAATTATCGGTAGCATTATTGCGTATACTGCAATCAGTGCTGTCATAATCATCAGTATCATTTTTGCGAGTATTTTAATCATTGCTATCATAGGCCAACTCATTGGTGTCGTCTTTGGGTATATTGTAATCAAAAAATTTTGTAAAAAGATAAATTTAATACCGTAAAAAAGTAGGTCAAATAACTTTCGTCGGAGGATTAACGGTAAAATAACGTCCGAAACGTCAGTAAGTTATTTCACCTACTTTTTTACGTTTTTAAATTTATCTTTATTCTATATTGTAAGTATTGTTGTTATCATTGCTATTATAGGCCTGATCATCGGTATTATCCTTGCGTATATTGTAATCATTGCAATCATAGACCAAATCATCCATAGTATCCATGCGTTTTTATTTTGTAATCATAGTTAGCGAAGTTTACAAAGAAAGAACTTGGTTTGACTGTTGATTATTGCACTGCTAGATGCATTTTGCACAAATACTTCTGACTATTATTTAATAGTAATAAATGATAATGGCAGTTTTGAACAATTTAGCAGTTATCCAAAAAAAGTTGGATGCTACTCCAAAATTATTAGGCATTAGATTATAATATGAAATGTACATTTTGTTCTTCTTAGCTGTCAAAAGGCACTAGAGAAAACATTTTGATAAATCAAAAAATCCCATGGATAGCACTTCCAATCCAATATGATGCAGCCCGAGTTAACGTTCTCTGAGCTTTAAAAGCCTACGTGTATCCATGATGAGCTCTTATTGAAAGGTGCTTTCTGATTGGTTCAAAATCAGAGATTGCGAGTTTTGAGAATGTGAGAAATTTGCGCAAAAGTTCTTGGATGCACGTGGACTTTTAACATATCACAGTTCATAAATGCAGTTTAACAGAGGACAATTATGTGGTCAACAATAGGGAATATCCAACGCTTGCAAGGTATAACTTCTCTTATATCAGTTTATTTGTTTGTTTTAGGGAGATTCTTCTAAGTTTGAAAATGTTGCTTGTCATATTGATTGTTTATGAATCCATGTGACCATTGAAATATCGAGAAATTCCGATCTATATAAGTGTTTCCAATAAGTGTGATATTATCGTGATTCCGTGTGGTTACGTCTCTTTCAAAATGTTGGTTATGTGATTATATTCCTTCTTGGAGGTCATATTTAGCTCAAAGATACGTGCTATTCTGATGACTTTTTTCTCCCTTTTCATTGCTTTCCAAGTCGTCGTGCGCCATGTTGGAATTTCCCATGTCTGCTGGATTGTCGTTTTCGTATGGACGGTCGTTAACTCTCATGTGATAATCCATCTGCATGGCTGCCAATGGATATACCAATATCATAGCAAATGCGTCTTCAGCAAGGTTACCCACAATGCCGTATTTCTCTCGTATGGTGGCACGGACACCGGTACCATATGCAAAGAAGCCAAAGAGCACTGCCCAACCGATGTACGCCAAACCAACCTCAACAATTTGACAGATCTCCAAAATTATCCACGCGTAGAAGGGAATTGCTAAAAACAGCATTGCAACGAAGCGGTTGGATCCATACACTTTTGAAGCCGCTTTTCCTATGGGCCACCATGGAGCAATGATTGCCGTAATCAAATTAATCATCGTGTCAGCAGTAGGAATGCTATAGAAAATATCGAGAAGTCCAAAGGAGAACTGTGGTCCATTGGGGTCCATTTCGCCCATCTCGATCTTGAATGCACGCCAGATCGATACACAAACAAAGTTTAGTATAACAGTGTAGAAAAGACCAGAGCAGATGGATACTGATTGAAGAGCTGATAGAGCTTTGCTACCTCCAGCCCAGAGAAGACCAGTTGCTGTGGCTCCTTCTGTCAATGCCCAAAACACTCTTTGAAGAACTGGTGGATCTGGATGGCCGTTTGCTGAAAGACTGTCAACAACCAACGATCCACTGTCGGAGCTTGTCACGAAGTACAAGATCAAAGCAATTACGGACATTGATGAAAGAAACGTACTGATCCCACCATAGGACTCCATGACATCGAACCACATATCAGTGCTTTTACGACATGACAGGCGGTAAAGACCATTCTCGGACACACTGGAATTCGTACCTCCACGTATTGAGGAACAGGTTATGTTTGCATTGGCAGCAGCTCTTTCCATGCGTAGGCCGACGCCACCCATCACACAAAACCAGATAAAACAATACACCACTGGAATTGTTAGAGTGTACAAGATGAACTGTGAGATGGTTCGACCTCTAGAGATTCTTGCGATAAATATTCCAACGAAAGGCGACCACGCGATCCACCAGCCCCAATAGWATATTGTCCAATCGTTCATCCAGAGAGGTGCTTGTTTCAAATCTGGTGCGTCTCCCATTTGTGCAAAGGCGTCTGTATGGAAGCCAAGTTGGATTATCCATTGAAGATAGTAGCCGACACTCTGGACGATGACGTTCAGATAGTACCAGGGCTCGCCGTAAAAGAAGATCACAAACCAGATAAACATTCCCAGAGCAAAGCAAATCTCACTTAGCCGACGGATGCCTAGATGAATGCCACTGATGACGGAAAGGGTTGCCACTGCTGTGATACCCCAAATTATGATGACCTGGCTTTCTTTGTTCTCTGGAAAATCGTTATTCAAACGATGGATTCCACTGTTTAGTTGAATGGCACCGGCACCGAGACTTGTGCACACTCCAAACATGGTGCAGACCACAGACAAGATATCGATGATGTCACCAAGCGTTCCATAGATCTTCTTACCAATAAGAGGGTAAAAACACGTCCTCATAGTTAAGGGCATACCTTTGTTATGGGAAAGGTATCCAAGTACAATTCCAATCATTGTGTAGACAACCCAGGCGTGTATTCCCCAATGGTACATTGTTATGTTTATGGCATCTTGAGCTCGAAGGTTGTCTGAAAACCTGACAAATCGAGTATTAGTAAGCTTTATTTTCGAGTACGTTTTGGCCGTTTGGCGGCCATGAGAATAACAAGGGAGGGTGTTATAGGTAGGTATGTGTATTGTGGCTTAATTACACAGGAGGGCCGGTACCACAAAATAAATTCTAAGGAGTGGTTTATAGTCAATAAGATAGTAGCGTAATTACACCGGAAAACCAAGTATCCCAAACAAATTGGCCATTCCGAAATTCAAAAGGTAAGTGGAAATGAGTATAGAAATAGTCTACTTATCAAACCATAATGTCACCAAACGAAAGACCATACTGCATTTTGTGTTCTTGTCAAGTCTGAGACTATTTGGTTGAATACTCAATGAGTATGATTTTTTKTTGAATTTCAACATGTATAAGGCTAGAAAACATTTGTGGCTCTGAGCCATTGTCTTAAAATTGTTTGGTTTTCCGTGCGCCCAAAAATCCAAAAATATCGCAAAAATATGAATTGTATTAAGCTTCATTTTCTGTTATATGAACTTTTCGTTCACTTCTTATCTGTTTACGTAGCGAACAAAACAACAGAGTTGAAAAACATGTTTCGTCTTTTTAAAGGTCATTAAAATGACCTTCTCAATTTCAACTGACAGAAATAAGGAGTGGAGAAGGAAAGAAAGAGTTGAGGAGAAAGAGAACAAAAGGAAGACGTGGTACAGGAGAGGAGGGTACGAAAGTGTCATCATGGTACCTGCCACACAAGGCTCTGAGTTGAAACGCAGACTGGAGACTGATGTCAGGAGTAGTGGGATTAAGATCAAGATTGAGAAGACCGGAACGAGTATAAAGAAGCTTTTGCAAAGGTCGAATCCTTTAAGGAAACGAAGTTGCGAAAAGGAAGATTGCTTTGTTTGCAAAACCGAAGGTAAAGGTAATTGCAAAACCGCTGGTATTACCTACGAGTTGAAATGTAAAGCGTGTGGTGATGTGTATATCGGCGAGACCAGTAGGAATGCTTACAGTAGAGGAAGGGAGCACTTGAAGGATATCAGTAATGGCGCCGAGTCGTCAGTAATAAACAGACATTGCAAAGACAAGCATGAAGGAACAAAGACTAGCTTTACTATGAGCGTAACCGGTACTTATCAAGGAGACACCATGTTGAGGCAGATCGCGGAGTCKGATCAGCAGTCAAGATCAAACCAAGATAATAAATAATAAGAACGAGTGGAACTTTGTAAATATGCCTAGGGCTAATATAGCGTAGATTTAATGTGTGTAATGTTATGTTTGTGTTGGTGTTGGTGTTGGTGTAAACTGTTAACTGTCAGTTGAAATTGAGAAGGTCATTAAAAACGAAACATGTTTTTCAACTCTGTTGTTTTTTTCGCTACGTAAACAGATAAGAAGTGARCGAAAAGTTCATATAACAGAAAATGAAGCTTAGTAAATCTGTTCTTGTCTCGATAAAAGATTTATCTGATGTTATAAATTTTATTATTATATATCAAGTGTCAAAGTTCACTTTTCCTAGTATCTTATTGGTCGAGAGTGTACCACGTGAAAGTCACAAAATTTTACTGTTTCCCGGCAACTGTCCACCAGCGGTCAATAATATGTTGTGGACCGTCAATAAGTACAAAGTCGCAGAAAAACAATCTTCAGTGTCGTGAAAATGTCACATTTACGGACGTTGCAATTCCAAAATTGTTATGAAACATTTAATTTCGACTACAAATAGTTAAATTAGTATTCATTGTTTTATTACATTGATTGATTTTAGTGACTATTTGTATTGCCATTTTTTAGTTATTTTATCAAAATCTTTAATAAAAACAATTCATTTGTGTACTTTTTTTGCTCTCTTTGACACTTGATATGATAATAAAGCACTTATTTACTGGAAACCTCGGGAAACAGCATGTTTTGCGGTCCCTCAACCGCTGATGTTTCCCTCAGCTTTGCTTCGGGAAACATCAGCGGTCTCGGGACCACAAAACATGCTGTTTCCCTCGGTTCCAGTAAATAAGTGTTAATTATTGTCAGCTTTCTATGTTTGAAAAAAAAAACCCAAATTCCGTCGACTGAGACCGTCACCACAAAGCCGATTCGAAAACGCTATTTAAAAACAGTGTATGCACTGTAAATAAAAAAAAATCGAAAACAAAAATTCCTCAAGACGACAGATATAGATCGGATTAATTTCGTATATACAAGAATTRTGTTTCAACTCATACTTGTTTTGCATGCTGCAGGAATTTTAAAGTGCTAGGTATTATGAAAGCCATGTATTCAAAGATGCTCAGTTTAGGTATATTGATGGTTTTCAACCATTCCCAGGAGAGAAAGTTAAACAAAAGATGTCATAAAATGCAGTAACGTGAAATTCTTGAATAAATGGAAAAAAAATTATGTTCTCAAAAGAGGTCGGTCCTTTGACGTTTTCCATGGCTATTTGTTTAACTTCAAAGGAATTTGGTTTCAATATACCAAAGTCAAATCAAGAGATGTCTAAGTTTGCATCGAAGTCTAAAGTTGTTTTCATATTGAACTAGTCTTCGGGAGATCGAAAAAGTTTCGGTTCACTGCATTCGTGCACATCAGAAACCTATAAGGGACTTGAAACGTGAAGCGCACGTACATTTCTTTCTTTAGTACCAAGTGTCGGCCGTTGGATAAGGGATTAAAGGCCCTTTCTGGTTGGCTAGGGTAAACTGAATTGTTCCAAATAAGGAAACGAGATGCAAATAAGATTTTAATATTCCAACGGATGGCACAATGCTACACGTTTCACAAATTAGCGACGTGTTTACTGACGTAATAATATGTACGGCTTATAATTGTACGAAGATACAGATTTTAAGTTTATGACATTCACTATTTCAACATGTGTTTACACCTGCAAAAAAGGTTTAAAAATACTATGTCCGTAATTACGTGACAGTGGTCATAGTATTTTGCGAATGTTTGTGCGTTTGTCCGTCCTCCAGGAAAGGAAAAGGAAGTTTTGTTCGTGGTCTTTTTTAAATGAAGCAAATTCGCGTATTTAAAAACAGAACAAGTCTCTTTGAGTATTCAGAGCTGTTTGTTTGTTCGCGAAACGACTCCTTTCGAAGCTGACGCTATCATGACTAGCCTACTGCGAACAGCGCTTACATTTGAGCGTAGTTTGAGTCTAAGTGGGTAGTTTTTTTGACATCTTGAATATACTCCTTGAAAAAAAAAACAAATATTGCAAATCAAAGCCAAAACGTTCCTTCATCGAAAATGTGAAGAGCAATAAAGCCTTATGGGCTTCCTGTGTCTTTCTCAAACACGACCTAATACATAGCTAGAACATAGATACGGATTGATTGAAAAGAAAGTAAAACCTTAATTTTGGTCACTGCCTTTATTTATTGGGGCTTATTACATGGATTTGGTGGCGTCATTTTATTTGAACTGATGCGTAACGCGTTTTAAACAACGATCAAAATAATGGTTTCATTTAGCGTCATGAAATTTTTATTGAATTTGGTGTCTGAAATCCTCTAATCCACAGTTTACGAATTGGGTTTTTGCTAATCTGTCAATTTGTGCATGCATTTATTTCGAAAAACCCTTTCTTCATTTTACTTGATTCACGAACATTTTGTTTTACTTATGCGTTACGCAATTTTTGTGCTTTTTTGTGCCTAATTGTATCAGGGATGTTTTCTTCTAAAACACGACKCACCTTCCTTGGTAGCGATTACCGTACGCCTTTTCGTGGCTTGGCTGATAGTGCTGAATAGGTTCAGCCACTCCAAAGTAAAACAACCCGACTCCCACTCCAGCCGCAAACAACATTGTAAAGTACGTCACATCTGAGAACTCGGGTTTCTCGTTGGGTCGGCCAAGTTTAATCTTACCATACTTTGTGAAAAGAAGATAGAACATGAAGACAGCCCATACATCCTGGGTTCCGATGTAGAGCCACGTCCAAGTCGACGTGATCCAGTCTTTCCATTTGGGAATCTCTGCTGCCGCAGTTTTGGTGTCAACCAAACAGTAGATGACAAAACCCCAAATTATAAGCGCTGAGACTATGGTTACGACGGGATTCAGCTCGATTCTCAGACGACGGAAAATTTTGAACTTCACCATGCGGCATTTTTCGCGCGAAACTAACTCACTGTTCGTACCCATCTTGATACCGTGAAGTTTGCAAACAGAATGATTTTATGCTGTGACAACACTGTATTAATGTTCATTTGAATTAGCATATCACGCATGACTAGGATGATAGTTAAATCACGAATCATTGCTGTTAAGTATTAGAGCTCTTACAGCTGCACGAATTACTATTGCTTTCATTTTTCATTATATAGGACAAAAACAGTATACCAGGACAAGAAAGAGCATACTAAAATTAGTATAATTGCTAAATACTTTACTCCAACCAAAGATATTATAAAAAAAGATATGACAAAGGGGAATTGACTTATCTTAACATTAAGTGTAAAGTGCACATGAACCATTTTAGAAAACTATTTTTAACAAAAGGAAAATATGATGCTAATCATTGTTTTGAAGAAGAAAAAGTTTTTTGAGTTCTATTTTCTGCGTTAAATGCATATTAATATTTGAAATTGAAAATGCTAATGATGTGGTTACGTCAAGGCAGGCTTCATCAAATATACGAACTTTGAAAAAGGCGCTCAAAAGTGTTTTCATGAACGCCAACTGGGAATATGATTATTCCCCTACATTGCCTACGATAAATTTAATGCCATGAAACCATTTTTGAGCRACTGTTTCAAAGTTCGTATATTTAATGAAGCCGCCCTTGACGTCATATCATTAGCATTTTCAATTTTCAAATGCCTTTATATCAGAAAATAAAATTTGAAAAACKTTTTCTTCTTCAAAACAATGATTAGCATCATATTTGCCTTTTGTTAAAAAATGATTTTCTAAAATGGTTCATATGCATGTAATACTGGCATATCGTGCATTCCTTAAATAGATTGCTATCTAAAATTAGTCATACTTACTAAATGGCTTGAATATGGATATTCATGCAGTAAATCCATCATATCTCTTTGAAAGAAATTGATCAATAATGCACTAATTAAACAACAGGCAAATAAGTTCTGACGTCAATGTTCTTCATACGGTCAGAGGAGCGGATTTAGACTAGTTCATCTAGTTTCCGGAAACTAGACAGATTTTTCCCAAAAATGTAATAAAAAGCGATACTTCAAATAAAATTTATATTATACACATTATAATTATAAAAGAATTAGTGTTTTCCGTGACCTGACCATATGCCATGAGTTCGCTTGAGCGAACCTGAATGTTTTTGTGTATTGAGCGAAACGCTTTGAATATGATCAATGGATTTATTTCGTATGGTTTGACCCTCACTCATTAGTATAGTTTACAATATTCGCGGCCGTGTTGTATGGGAATTACAATCTCGAGCCGAATTACAATCTCGAGAAGGCCCAGTGTAAGATTAGTTTTAACTAGATTAGTTTTAACTAGATTAGTTTTAACTAAACTGGTGTAATTTTTAATTACTTTTTAAACCTTCTTTAAATAAAGTTTTATTATTATTATTATTGTTATTATTATTATTATTATTATTATTATTATTATTATTATTATTATTATTATTATTATTGTAATTCTCATACCACACGGACGCGAATGTTGTAAACGACTTATAAAACTCCAACACTAATTAACATGAGTTACAGTGAGATAAATGACGAAAAATGACAATTAAGGTAACTGCTGAGTTTAGTCGCTATTAAGCATGCGCAATTTACTGCAACACAGAACATTTTGGATAATTATCCATCCCACATAAAAAGCAAGCCATCTGTTACATAATCGAGTTCTGTTATCCGTGAAAAAAACCTAGTGAAGGTCTATGATGCGCTACTAAAATTGAGACCTTTGCTAGTGTTGGGTTGTCTCAAGGTGACGACCGTGTTGTAAATCTCATACAACACTAGTGTTGTATCACAGTGTTGTATCAGATTTACAAGGTCAATCGCCTGATTAAATGGACAGCCCTTATTGTAGTAATAGCTCATGCATTATTAATAAGTTTTATAAGGCAAAAGGAGATTGCGTATAGGATATCAAACCTCATTGTTCACTTTGATATCTTTCGTTGTTTATATACTTTTACTGTAAAAAAAGGGAAAAATATGGAGAGACTAAATCTAATTGCGGTAATTTAAAGGTCAAGTATACCACAGTATCAAAATCAGACAGTTTGCAAAGTTTCGGTGATAATTGCCGTAGCAGCGGATGTCCAAACAAGAAGATTTCCCACCTCTATAACTGAAAGCCATAATGGCCTCTTCAATCTTCATCTAGGAATACTCCTGCGTGAATACCATTGTTTTCTTTAATCCAGAGACAGAATTCCTTGTCAAACGGAAGAATTTAGGCTATGAACGTCAGAATCACACAGCCACGTTTCGGCTTTGCTTCGAAAAGAAAAATCGTGAATAAATGGAAGGATAGGTACTTTATTTATAGAAATGGATAACATAAATTGATATTTCTTTTTCCTCAATTGATTGTCGCAAATTTTATTTTCACTAGTGAAAATAACACATTCGCGGTTTCTCTATATAGTGGAATGCAAAAAGGCATTTTACAACATAATTTGCTTCCAAAACAATTATAGGATAAATAGAATATTACATGGTCGCTTGGAGATACGAATTTTATCTTCTCGTATTGAAAATCCTCACTCGTGAGAGATCGTTTCAAAACTCGAAAATAAAATCCGTATCTCGGCGCGCCCATATACCATTGGAATATCCTCTATGTATCCAACAAGAAAGCAAGCCATCTGTAGATAGTGCTGCTATCTGTCTTTGATACTTCAAAAAATAAAGTTGTTTATAAGTAAAAAAAATAAAAGATAAGTTACAGAAATGTTTTGACCTCACTGTCTTTTGTCGCTACTTTCAAGCATTTTCGAGTTCATTGAAGAGCGCTGAGCATTGTGTGAGGGTCTCAATGGGGTGGTACGTATCACGACTCACGGCTAAAACTTTGGCGATTTCACGACTCACGACTATTTTTTTCGAATCACGGTTAACTAGATTACTTTCAGAAATTTTTGAATTAAACGTTTTTCATTACCTTTTCTTTTTTTCGTATGAATAGACTGCGTGACTTATTTGGCATACGGACATGGATTTTCTCTTTCAAATTAGCCGAAATGCGACTATTTCCACTACAAAATGATTAATCATAAATTCATGATACACAAGAAAAATCCAAAAAGTGTTAAACATACCAGGTATTGAGAACATAGTAGTGGCATTGCTGCATTCCGTGTCTGACATCGGAGTTTACGAAATTTCATAATTTTCATAATTTTATCGCTTTTCGCGATGATGTATTCTATGCCGGACTAAATGTGCATGGTAAAATCAGGACGTTTGCAGCGTATTCATATTATTATTTGACTCAAAACAAAATTATAGTATYTTAAAATCGAGCAGATTTAGTTTCTTGTCACACTTAGCGTGACGCAGGCACTAAATGAGTGGGAGTTTTAAAATGTACAAAACAAATCCCAAAAATACTATCTAAGAAAGTAAAAACCTTTTATAACTAATTATAGTATTTTAAAATCGTTATCTTATCTAATTACAGAAAATGTCAGAATTTATAACATAGATACTATATAACGCGCGCTCTGATTGGCTAGTTTTCTATGAAAAAGAAATGGATGGATCATAGAGATGGTTCATGCTCACGTCATTACTGTAGGAAAACAAAAATTATACGAAAAACCTGGAACTTTT